GTACCGGGCGGTAGCCTGTGAATCTGATCCCGGTTCAGTCCTTCGAACGGTCTGCGTGGTCTAAAGGACTTGTGCAGCTCATTGGGAGTGCGGCAGGTGGATAGATGCACGCTGTTGTTGTATGCACTAGCTACCTTAGGCAACATCTCATCCCAGTTTACCTGATCCGGTCTAATGTACATGCGCAGAACTTGCTGTAGGATCTTGTTCATCTGTTCTGTCTGACCGTTAGTCTCTGGGTGGCGACCAGACGACATCAACAACTTAGATCCGTAGACTCTCATGAGTTCTTGCCAGTTCTGGCTGGTAAAGCGACTATCCCTATCGCTGACTATCGACAATGGGATTCCATTCTCACTAACCCAGAAATCAAAGAACTTCTGTATAACTAAATCTGTACGTGCCTCTGCAGGCAAAGGAACAAAAACTGCATACTTACTAAAACGGTCAACTATGACCATGACCTGACTCTTACCATGTCTGCTCTTGACTTGGGTGTCCATAAGAATATGGACACTGAGCCTCCCGGCTGATCAGGCATAGGCAAGGGTCTGAGAAGATCTAGAGGGGCACGCGTAGTAGTCTTATTCCTCTGGCAAACTTTGCAACTGCGGACATACTCTATGCAGTCATTCTTCATTCCTGGCCAGGTGTACGCATGCATCAGGTTGGCTAAAGTCTTTTGCCAACCGAAATGTCCCTCAGTATCGTGGCATTCCCCTAGGATCAAACTACGAATCTCTTCATTGTTGGGAACGCACAGGCGGTCGAATACGTTAGTCTTCTCAAACAGCAACCCGTCTGTAGTGCGGTAATCTGGCTCAGTCTCTGGTGCCTCTCTAACTCTCTTTAGGAGGTCGCTATAGATAGGGTCATGTGCATACGCTTGCTTCACTTTCTCCTGCAGGTCTCTCCCTACATCCAGATAGTGCACTATAGCTCTGAAGTAGTCTGATCTTCTACTTAGAGCATCCGCAACTACGTTGTACTTGCCCTTCACTGGCTTAAGCTCAAAGTCATATTGGTCATCTCTGCGGCCCACATAGTCAACTTAGGTGTCATATTGGCCTGAGTCTTTAACCATCTAAGTGTTTCATGGTCAGAATACACTTTGAAGTGCCTCCCAAGCAGGTAATGCTTCCAGTGGTCTAGAGCCTGCCTGAGAGCGTAGAGTTCTCTCTCGTACGTCGAGGTGGCTACCTTCTCTGAGGGCATCCTCGCAGACATGAACTCTACGGGTCTATAGCCATTGCCGTCATCCTGCTGCAACACGGCGCCTATCCCATACTGACGTGCGTCCGTGGTGACGACAAATGGCAAAGACGGATCTGCTACTTTGAGGACAGGGTACTCTGTTAGTGCGCGCTTCAATCTCTTTAGCACAGACGTACAATCTTTGTCCCATTGCCAGATTGCCTCTTTCTTAAGCAACCTGCTTAAGGGAGCGGCGATAGTAGAAAAGTTCCTTACAAACTTTCTATAGTAGTTAGCTAGGCCTAGGAACGACCGCAACTCTGTCAATGTGCGTGGCGACAACCAATCTCTAATCGTCGCTATCTTACTGTCCTCTGGCTTAATGCCATCTCCGTCCAACATGTGGCCCAAGTACAGGACTTGTGTCTTGGCCCACTCGCACTTCTTTGCGTTGATCTTGAAGTTAGCCTCTCGTAGCTTCTCCAAGACCTGCCTCAGATGACCCTGGTGCTCCTGGAGGGTCCTATTGAAAACTAATATATCATCTAAATAGACTACTACAAACTTGTCTAACCATGGTCTGAACAGATCGTTCATACAATGCTGAAATGTGGCTGGCGCGTTAGTCAGTCCAAAGGGCATCACTATAAACTCATAGTGCCCATAACGAGTCCGGCATGCAGTCTTGTACTAATCATCAGGATGGACTTCTATCTGATGGTATCCGGACTTCAAGTCTATCTTAGAGAAGTACTTGCAACCCTGCACCCGATCTAGGAGATCGTCTATCCTGGGCAGCGGTTCAGCATTCTTCACTGTAATCGCATTTAAACCCGTATAGTCTATACACATACGCAACTCTCCTTCCTTCCTTGGGGCAAACAGGACTGGTGCTCCAAAAAAAGGCGAATTGGGCCTGATCCAACCTTTCTCAAGGAGTTCGTCTAACTGCTTGTGAAGCTCCTCTAACTCTCTAGGGGACATCCTGTAAACTGCACCCTTAGGAGTTCTACTGCCAGACTCTATCTCTATCCTATGTTGGATGGGTCGCGACACTACTCCTGTCGGCGACTCAGTCAAATCTTTGAACTCTTCCAGCAGCTTGGCAATCGTTGGATTTGTGGAACTATCCTTTTCCTTGGCCTCAGTGACAGGTCTAACATAAACTACAAAGACCTGGTCCTCTAACTGCTCCTTTTTCACTAGTCGCGCGAACGCGGGAGCACTGAGACAGCAATGTGCCAAGGTGTTGTCTACACCTGACACATAATACAGGCGGGCAGTCTTAACCTCGCCTGACGGACTAGGGAGCCTACACTCATGCTCTCTCAAATGGAGTGTGGCCCCGACTGCCTCTCCCCAATCCATTCCCAATACTACGTCGAAAGGAAGGTCATCTTGTACGAGGAGTAAGGGAATGGAGAACTTTCTCCACCTTCCCATCCTTCTCTAGGCGAAAGTACGCCTGGACTCCCTCTACATAGTCCTCAACACACATTGTGCGGTTGTCTGCGAGGACACTGACTATGGGGTCTGCTAGCTTCTGGACTTTTAGTCCTAGCCTTAGCTTCTTCAGCGCCCTACGGCTAATATAACTGCGGGTGGCCCCGGAGTCTATAAGGGCCCCTACTCTACTTCTAAACACCTCTACGTCTACTAAGATCAGTTGTCCTTTGCTTTCTTTCTTCATCTTGGCCCAGGCTGGCATCCTCTTCTTTAACTCTTCTGCCACACCTGTGAGGGACGTGCCTAAAGAGACGCTCACACAAGCAGTCTCTGGACGGCTAGCTAGGCACGGGCCTGCAACCTCTGCCATAGGCTCATRTGGGTTGGGAGTGTCCTGTTCGCGCGCGCTCACTTCTCCACATGGCCTTGACGTAGGGGCAGTTGCGACCCCTACTGGCGGCTGCCTTTTGACTGTTGGGCAGCCCAACGGGCCTGTCTATACTTGGGACAAAATTCAATGACATGGGCCGGGTCACCACAGAATATGCACTGACCCTGGTCCACGCGCTCCTGCCATATGCGCTGGCCCAAGCCAAATCCTCCCAAGGCCTGCCCTGTGGCAAGCCTGGGTGCCATCCTCCTTGAGGTGCCCTTCCACCTCGTCGTTGTGGGGACCGATTACAACCTTGGCGATTTGACGGGGGACCTTGACCCTTACCTCCCACTTGGGGGTTGCCCTGTCCGCCAACCCCCTATGCGCCCGGTCCTCGGCCTGCCATGGCCTGGCCCCTTTGGCCCTGGCCTCCTCCCCTAACTGGCGGCCTCCCTCCAACCGCGACAGCAGCATAACACCTCCCCTGTCCCATGCTACTGTCCTCTTCCTCTAGGCCCCACTCAATCTGACTGTATGGGACCTCATCAGTACCACCTTCCTCTAAGGTGAGGATCATGTGATCCTTGGCCCTCACCTGGCCTGAGATGGTACGACCCTTCCACCTTTTTCCCTTATCCAAGTCCTTATGCCAGAAGGTGGTAACTGGCAGGGACTTCGACTCATACAGGACCACTTCTCTACTCAATGCATCATAGGTGATGCCGGCCTGTTGAGACTTGTCAAAGAAATGCCCAGGTCGGGCCTCTGACATGGCACGATAAAATAATTGGACCAACTGGGTCTCAGTGACCCCATGGTCTGGGACGGCTACCAAGTCGTCCATGGTACCCTTGAGTGCTCTTGCACTCCTCCACTGTCGCGAGTGGATCGTTTGTAGCTTATCAGAGGCGCGAACGCCTCTTGTTGGGTCTGCAAATCGCTCCTTCAGGAGCTTAAAAAATTGAGGAAGGGGGGTGACTCTTGAATATGCAACCAGGTTGTTTTCACAACCGGCTGCGCGTGCAAGGGACCTAGCAAAACTAGTCGCCTCATCCTTAAGAACCTGGAAGGCCACGAGGACTTGTTCCTCTGACAGGATGTGTTGTAAATATATGTTACTATTGACACTGGCCTCCCAATTGTCAAAGCTCTCCTCCTCCTTTCCCCCGTATGCGTCTGGAAACTTGAGCTTTACAGGCTCTTTACGGGGTCTGCCCTCGCCCTCTACAGCAGCTGTTGCTTTGGCACCCTCAATGGCGCCCTCACAGAACTTCCCTACGTTGTCCCTCAATTGCCTGACTTCGCCCCCAATGTGGGTGACGATCTCGCACGCAAAGTCTCTGAATCCCGACCACATGGCACTCAGGGCTACCTCTTGGCTCCAACTCGCTTGGCGCTCCTCCATCCATGCGGTGCTCAACACCTCTAGGTAGCCCAACACCTTATCCCACTTGGCCTTGTCATCTGGCTGGGCCAACACTTCCTTCCTACACTCCTGCACCTTTGCCACCTCTGCGGTCAGTTTGTTCACTTCCTCTCTCCTCCTCTTCTTCTCCCTCTTCATCCTTAACTTCCACGCCAACTTCTGCTCCTCCTCCCTTTCTCGCCGTTCCATAGGATCTTTCATTGTTGCTAGCTCACTGGCTAGCGCATCCCTCTCCTCCTGAGTCACATACGACTCTGCCTCCTCGTCCTCTCCCAGCGATAAATTAGCGACCCACTCACTTATCTTCTTCTCCATCTCAGCGTCTGTATCGTTTTTCGTGCCGCTAGTCCCCACTCTACTCTCAATACGCATCCTCTCTTTCTCCTTTTCTGCTGCTGCTTCTTCTTCGACAACCTTTCTCCTCTCTTCCTCCTCCTGTTGAACTCTCTTCATCTCCTCCTCTAACTTCTTCATCTTTGTCGCCTGCTCTTCTGCGATCGCCTTTAACTTCTCCTGCTTCAAGAGCTCCTTCCTCTCCTTGTTCTCTTTCACTAAGGTGGCCATCTTTTCTGGCTGCTCCTTGGTGTAGGGGCTAATGTCTATCCCACTACGGGTCTCAACCATGGTGATAGGTGCACAATCAGAACGATTCCACTCCTCACCCACTTAGACTCTAACCCCTGACTGACACCCTATTGACTCAATCTAAGACTCACAAAATCCTGACACGGATCCTGCCAACTATGGTCTCTAGCCTAGACCTACACTATGGCTGTCACTACTAGACCTGTTGCTGATCAGGAGGCATTCAAGGAGATCCCCCGAACTCCTCAGGAATTATTTAACGTCGCAAACAGGACGACGTGATCAGCAAGTCTCTCAAGACTTAGACGGTCTGTTGTACAGCCCACAACCCGGATTTCGAGGCCTACCGTGCCACACCGAGCAGCCCGCCAGTCAGTACCGGTCCTTGGGAGGGTTTGACCTCCGGGACGGTCGAGTCGTCAGACACAACTTTTAGCCCTACTCATCCCGTGTGGGTTTGGTCAACAAGACCCTATCCTTCATCCACAGAGTACTATCACCTAGGACAAAAGAGATTCGATGCAGAAAGAATAGACAGACAGACTGGACTCAGCAAGTACCAAGAGGTGTGTGCACATCCATAGGGCGAGGGGGAGGCTGAAGGCTTGGCGAGATGTTACCGGCTCCAGCTTGGTCAACTCGTGGTCAACGGTCTTGGTCAACGCTGCTATAGCCCCCGGTCAACCTCCGGTCAACTCCGGTAACCGCCGGTCAACACCTCCGGTCAACCCTCTTGGTCAACCCTCCGGTCAGCTATGGCTGTCGGCTCCTCTTCTTCGCTAGTCCTCTTCCCCTTTTCACCTTCCTCGCCTCTTTGCACCCCGGCTGTCTTCTTCTTCTCTTTTTTTTTTTTTTTTTTTGATCGGCCCTCTCTTCTTCTCTCGGCTATGGCCTCCTTCTCTCACTTGCTCGGTCTCTCCCCCTCTGTCCTCTCTTTCCCTCCTTCGTTACTCCGTGATGATGCTTCGCGGCTATGGCCGCTTCTTCTTCCTCCACGTGGGACTGCACAGCTCGCTTCACAGGTACGTAACAGCCAAACTTGTATCACTCATCTCTCTCTCTCTCTCTCTCTTTCTCTCTCTCGCGCCGTAGTGGTATCTTCAGCGCAGCAGGTACGTGGTAACCCAATCTTGTATCGCTCAACCTCTCTCTCTCTCTCTCTCTCTCTCTCTCTCTCTCTCTCTCTTCTTCTTCGTCGTGGTCTTCTTTGCAGGTGCGCGGCGGCTTCTCCAACCTCAGGTCCGCTATGGCGGACTACAGCCTTCGGCGGCCACCTCGGCTATGGCGCATCAGGTCCTGCATACGACAGCGCGCATGGAATAGCGGGTACCAGCTCCGATACCAATGCAATCAGACTCGTTCTTATTCACACTTTTCATGCATGTAAACAGCAGCGCAGCAAACTGGAGACATGCGCCCACTCAAAACTCAGAGATATGGCTTTCAGATACGAGTTCACTTTCAACTGGCTATGGCGACTCAGCGCCCAAACAACTCACTGTTCACACACACCGGATCACCCTGGATATCCCACACGCGTCACTCTGAACACTCGCACATACGCACACACACACTTCACACTAACTACAGCTATGGCAGCTATGGCTGCCCCTACCCTATCGCTATACTAAGCTCCTTCTCTCTCGCCCACTGCGTCCTCCGGGCTCACTGCAGACCTCCTTGCACAGGTCGCTGTGACAGCGCTTCCGCATGGCTCACGCAGGAATGAATGAAAGGCTGGGCGCTGCCTCTTGATTTATACTTCGGAAACTCGTTGGTCTGCCCTTTGCCATCGGCCCATGGTGCTCACAGTCCCCCGTGGTAGTTGCTGGATCGAACAGGGACTGACTGGACCTTACAGCTGACTGAGTGTGGACTCACTGCTAACCTACCGTAGTCGTACTGCAATTGCACTGCAGTTTAGCCCACCACTTGACTCGCCACTTGACCACTTGCCCACTTACCGACCTTCTAGAAGGACTACAGCTAGACTTCTGGAACTCGCTAAGACTTCTACTCTATAGATCTACAGATCAAACCCCAGCTACCTATGGACCTATGACAGACCTACCAACTGTCTACGAATACACAGGTCACAGGTTCAACTCTCGGGGTCTACACAGATACTGTACATGGTCACAGGTTCAACTCTCGGGGTCTACACAGATACTGTACATGGGTAGGGTGAGGTCTAGGGATCGAACCCTGGGTACTGCATCTGCTACTGCAAAAAGGTGAAAACAGTTTCAACAGCGACTGTCAGAACGGGCGCCTACAATGACTTTGGGGGCTTTGGGCCTCGCTCCACTCTTTACCAAATGCAAAATGAAAATTAATCTTCTGCTAGAACATGGAAAGATACACCACCACATTTTCTGTCTTTGTGCATGTGGTGAGTAGTGGAGCCAAGCTGTACGCCTGCTCTCCAACGGGACCAATTTTTTTTCGTTTTTTTGTTGTACAAGGAATATGAGCAAGAGCGATATACAAAAGACCAAGTTGCATAATCACGCAGATGTCCAGATAGCCATGTACAAGCAGAGAGCACAAATGCACCGAAATTCCATCCAAATAAGAGCAATACAATGAACTTGTGAGCCAATGTTCAAGCCCTCAGGCCAAACAAACACAGTATTCAATGTCACTCCTCTGTGTCTGGCGCCCAGCGCCCAGCCAACGCCTATCTACTGCGGCCGCATTCACACAACTGGTTCACTTCGACTTTGAAGACCAATGTATATGACGTCAACACCGTAGCCGACCTCCCTCATGCACCAGGTACGTATCTCGTCTCCTCTCATCACCCCTGACACCCACTCTCTCTCTCTCTCTGCTCCTCCTTCTGAAGACCCTCCTGTCGCCTCTACCTGCCCCGCGCCCTGCAGCCCGGCTATGGCCACTAGCGCCCCGCTGCGCCCTCACCTCCAGCGCCCGTGCGCGTCCCTGGCCGATTAGCGCAGCATGCAGCCACTTACGCAGCAACACAGCAGCGTGCCCGCATTGCCAGCTTGGGCCAGAATGCCTGAGCCTGGCTGCCTCCTTCCCTATATGGAAGTAGCTGCCTCTTTTGGCTGCGTGTGGCCTGGCTGGGGAGCTTCCAGTAGCTTCCGGTCAGGCCCCAGTGCC